AAGTAATTTAGTTTCCAGGAACATCCATATTCATGGGAATCAGAGTAAGATCAGCTATAATTATTACCTGACCAAAAAGATAAAGGTTTCGGTTTATTAAATTGCATTCAATTTATCAGGAATCGACACAAAATGCCCAAAACCTATGGAAGAATTCTGCACACCCTCTAATTTGGTCACCTGATACTTCAATGATCAAATGTCACCAACTCAAACGAACATTACTTACTTTTCCGTTGCCCCATTTCTTAAACATACCTTGCTTGAGCTGGGGAAAACACTTTAAAAACTGGTTCACATTGGGATGCATGTTAAAACAGTGACTGGGGGACGAACAGATCACTTTCTACACTAGAGGGAGACACAATCCATATTAAATCTGCTCTTCTGTGCTCAGACGACACTGAAATGCGTTTCTTAGCGGAGCTGAAAACTTCCTACCGTACTGGAGAGAAAAGAAGTAGCCCGTTGATCTGCCAGTCGCTAATGATGCATTTAAAAGTTCACGACCAAATGGATGTTTATAAAAGTTCACATTACTGTCGCAGATGAAATAGAACACGGATAACAATAAACAAATTTTTTTTACCAGGTTAAATGTTGATTATTAGTAACTCTCAAACCCCTTTTTGTAAACCTAACCGTCGATCGCGTGCATCCGCCACGTTTGTAGTTTTTCTAACGCGTTTTATTCGTGTTTGTAGTTCTGGAACGAATCCTTCGCCAAAGCGCAATGGATTGTGGGCAATTTTAGCCATTAGAGTGTGCACGGATCCACACTTCAAAAATCTACTTGAAATAACTGGTTCACATTGGGATGCATGTTAAAACAGTGACTGGGGGACGAACAGATCACTTTCTACACTAGAGGGAGACACAATCCATATTAAATCTGCTCTTCTGTGCTCAGACGACACTGAAATGCGTTTCTTAGCGGAGCTGAAAAATTGTCCACAAATTCAGAATAGATTTAAAACAAGTTTTTAGTAGCTTCAACTTAGTCAACATGAATACAGACTTCTCTCATAAGGCACAATATGTAATACTTTTCAAAAATTGCTTTGAAAAAGATTAACCCATGTTTCATACCGTAACACTTGAAAGCCAGCGCTAGTTTTAGTGATTAGTTTATTTGGTACAACCGTTAAGTTGACAAATTAACGGTCAAAGATGTCAACAGGTATTGCTAATCCTGCATTTCACATGTAAAGCCCTCCAATATCCAGTCTAAACTTGTACAAAGAACAGTCAGTGCTTAAAGCCAAAGATACGCAAACAAGCTCCTAACCTCACGAAAAGCAAAAGCTCAAGAAATACATCACGTTAAGAACGTCATACACGAGTCCCTTTCAGGTCGAGAAGACAGCTAATATCAGACCATGACAAAGCTGCAGTCTAACTAGCACGCAGATATGTGAAGGAGAGTTGATCGAAGTGTAAAATCACTGCTAAATACTGCATTTGTTTGTTTTCTGAATATGGACCCATGATGACCCCTCACATGAACTCGAAAAAAAAAATCTTTGGATATGTAAAAAAAAAAAAACATCAGGATCCCCTGTAATTGTACGTTTTTCAGTTTTCTTCACAGTTGACGTCTTTGTTTTCTTTGTTTTTTCGAACCTCTTCCAGCTTCTTGTCCTAAAATAGAAGCAGAATGTATTATTATTGTATCATAAAACCATCTATGAAAACATATCACCTTTACCTTCTCTTTGAACTTCTCATTCATGGCTGCCATGATGGCCGAACGGTTTTCTTTATTGGCTTCCATTTTCTGGTTCAGTTTCTCTTCTGCCATCTTGCTGAAATTGTTGTTTTCTTCTAGAGCTTTCTGAAGCACCTCCTTCTCATGCTCACGCTTCTCCGCTAAGTGTTTCAGGACCTCCGCTTCATGAGACTACAGGGAGTAAAAAAAACGGCATTAATCTGTGACTCTTTGAAGCTAGGAATATGATATTGTCAGAAGTATGAAGTTTATTCCAGGAACGGATTGAACAGAAAACCTTTTGTATACATACGCAAGTATATGAACCTTAATAATTGCCTCTGGAGAAAATCTCACACACCCACATTGCTGTCGAACATGTTTTATGTAGACTTAAATGTAATTTGGCATGCCTTGAACGTTGCATAAAATGTATGGGGTGGGGGTATAGGTATGCACCTTGCGTCTCTCTTCTGCAGCGGCTAGTTTTCTCTGGATCTCCTCCAAGGAAAGGTCCTTCTTCTTCAGAGGAGAGAGAGGGAACTCAGCAGCCTTGGCATCTGGAGCAGGACTCCCAAGGATGACCTCAAAAGCTTGTCCTGAGGCACGCTTGTCCAGCTCCTTAACGTAAATATCTGAAAACAAGCTTCACTTGTTAACTGCGATATTCAGGGATCATCTCTGCCTCAACTACTACAAATACATCCAGATCCGGTCACGTGCCTATGTCTTACACACGTGTAAATACAGGTCTTACCACTTGAAGAAGCCATTGTTGTAGAAGACTAGAGGATCGACGTATGCCTAAAAAAAAACAAATCAGCAACATTAGTGCTCCATACAATACTGTTGTACATCTTGTTTACTCAATAATATACACATAATCCTTGCCATACTGCACACAATGTTACTCAGCTACATCTAAAAGAGGAAATATAACAGACCTATTGGACTTTATATAAACATTATAAATATAACAGCTCTTACACCTTATATATATATATATATATATATATATATATTATTTTTTTATTTTTTTTTTTGACCATATCTTACATAGACATTAAGGGGACCTCCACACCAACTACCAAATAAAAAATAATAATAATAATAATTTAATTTAAATGCAGCCGTTACCCCGAAAACCCTGTAAACAAAGCAGCTGCACTACTTTCTGTTTCTGAAAG